CACACACACACACACACACACACACTTAACAATCCTTCACAGGAGTACAGTGACCCTTTGTTTGCACAAGGCTAGCTTACTTTGAAATTGTCTCAAAGTAACTGGCTGCCCAACTAAAAAGAAGAAAAACAAAGGCCCCTGAATGAAACCAGAGGGGAAAATCCTCATTATCAACTAGCTATAGGCTTTTGCATTCACTGTGACCCATTCTTTCATTGGTAATAGCCTGAATTATAAATGTGTCATTCTGTGTGGAGGAAATTTTATCAACCTTGATTAAGTCTGAATTTATCATCCTCATAGGGGCTACAAGGGCAGGCAAGTGTGCCCCTAAAGAGGTGGAACAGGATGGCAAACAGTGTAATTTTATTATGAGCCAAAAATCAAATTTAGCTGGGCAGGTTTTCATTGTGTAAATGGAATCGGAGTCTTCCCTAAATACAGACTTTTGACTTTGCAAAGGGATGCTTTGTACATTAATTTACCATACGTTGATTTAGTCACAGGAGGGAAAGTGTTTGTGATTGCATTAAAATGGCATTCAATTATGTTGGCTATCTTCTTTTTGAGAGCAATCCTGCACACAGAAGAATAACTCTGCAATTTTCTTGATTCTTAGAGATAAGGCTATATGGGAGGTTTTTCAAAAGAATGTTTATCTTGCTCAAAAACATTTGACTAAATAGAAATGGGCATGATGATAATTTTTCTACTATTTAATTACTTTAATATTAGGAAAATATGCTAACAAATATGTCATTTTTTTCATCAGCTAGCTCCATTAGGAGGAGCTCTTGCAATATTTGGCCAAGATGGGTTTAACTTGGCAAGTTCTTTCAACTAGTCATTTTCACAGTGCTAGAAAACACGTTGAACTTAAAAAACCAGAACTCACACATTTGCAGTCATTCTTCTCTCCATGTAACAGCAACACGGCATGCTTTCTTACACACTGTCAGAGTCAACAAAATACTTTGCCCATGTTGATACATGCTGAGCACCACTCTTTGCAATCATATGCTTCAACAGACAGTGAGCCAGCTTTTTCCCTTTATGATCACTTCGCTTCAGTCCTCAGAGATGGTGTTAGATTTTCTTAGTTAATAAGGAAGGAAGGAAGGAAAGAAGAAGAAAGGAAGGAAGGAAGGAAGGAAGGAAGGAAGGAAGGAAGGAAGGAAGGAAAGAAGGAAGGAAAGGAGGGATAGAGGGAGGGAAAAAGGAAAGGGAAGGAAGGGAAATACAAAGGGAGGGAAAAGGAGAGTGATAAGAAGAGGAAAAGAGCAAGGACGAAAGGGAGGAAGGAGGGAGGGAAGGAAAGGAGGAAGGAAGGAAGTAGAGAGGGAAGAGTAAAGAAGGGAAAGGGAGTAGGGAGGAAAGGAATGAAAGGGTAAGGAGGGAAATAAGGAAGGAATGAAGGAAGGGAGAGAGTAGAGAAGAAAGGAAGGAAGGAAGGACACCAAGGGGCAAGGGGGAAGGAGGGAAAGGGAGTAAGGAAAGAGGAAGGAAGGAAGAAAAAAACCAAGCTACTATGTTGTATGGAATTTAGTAAAAGGCTACAATATAATCTGCTATTGAAGGCTCCCACAATCTATCTTGTTTTAAGTTTGATACCCAACTTGTCCCTTCCACAAATCTTTTACACCAGAAAACCACTGGTCACTACTATGTACCTTTTTCTGTGAATCATGTATTGTCACTATGTTTCTTGATAATAAGAGAAAGTGGATGTTTGGATGACATTTATAGTCATCTTTCTCTTATATGAATATCTACATATAAAGGCAGATGAAAACTTGAAGTCAATTACAATCAGTTAAATACCAAGTTAGTAGAATACACACTGAATTTGGAGTCTGAAACCTTGGGTTCCCAACCCAATTCTACCACTCATTTAGTCCCTATGTGACATAGAGCTAGATACCTCACCTTTCTGATCATCAATTTCATCATTTATATCATTAGTGATTGAGACAATCTTGTCTCTGAAGATGCTTTTTGCTTTAGTTCTAAGAATTTAGGATCCTCTAAACCCACCCAACTACATATGATCCTATGAGCATTTCCATTTTGAAACCCCATAGCAATAATCATTTGAACCATCCCCATGAATTCATTGATAGAATGAAATTTCAGTGAAGAAATTCTCTCTACAGATCCACGTCACCACCTACTCTGTGCATGGCAACTTCATTTCTCAGACAGTAGTCACAACATTGAAAGAACTGAAAGATTGAGAGACTTGACCAGGATCACGTGGTGACCCTATGTCAGATGGACAGCTGGAACTCAGGTCTTCCTGCCTCAGAGGCTGGCTCTTTATCCATTATGCCAAAATACCTCTGAATATTTATAAAGTACATTGAGCTTTATAAAACACTTTTTCATTTCACTTTGAAAACCTCCCTCTTAGGAAGAGTAAAGAATGGAAGGGTTGTGAAAAGACATGCGCACTAATCCACTGATGAGGAGTTTTGAATCAGCCCTATTATCCTAGAAACTAATCAGAATGATGACTAAAATAGTGAGTGATTAGCATGTCCATATTGTCTCTTTTGCTGGATCTTCTTCTCTTGCCCTTTTTTGCTGGATTCTCTAATCAGATCAATTGCTTTAACTATAAGTCTTTTTCAGAGTTCTGTCATGGTCTCTCTTTTCTCTATACTTCTTCACTTGGTGTTCTCATCATCTCCCATGCATTTAATTAAAATTTCTGCAGTGATGATTCTCATATCTACCTATCCCACCCCTAACTCTCTGCTGACCTCCAATTTCTCATCTCTGACTGACTTTTAGAAATCTCCAACTGGATGTCCAGTAGACATCTTGAACTCAACATTTTCAAAATGGAACTCATTATCTTTCACCATAAACTCTCCATCCCATCCTACCTTCCATATTACTAGAAAAGATAGAACCATCTTCCCAATCCCCCTAGGCTCACAACTCACTATATCTCATTTTCCCCGCCCCATATCCAAACTGTTTCCAAGTCCATTTGATTTCACCTTTGTAATATCTCTCAAATATGCCCTCTTCTCTCCTGTGACACTGCCTCCACTCTGGTGCAGGCCCTCATCACCTCAGGCTTGGACTATTGCAAAAGCTTACTGATGGGTCTTTTTGTTTCAAGACCCTCCCCTCCCCCTTCAGCCTCCATTCAACCATTAAAGTGATTTTCCTAAAGCACAGGTCCAATCATGTTACATATACCACACCCTCTATTCAATAAACTCCAGTGGCTTCCTATTGACTCCAGGATGAAAAAAAATTGCCCTGTTTGGCATTCAAAGCCCTTCATAACTTCAACCCTTCTTCCTTTCCAGTCTTCTTACATCTTACTTTGCATCACATGCTCTTTGATCTAGTGACACTGGCCTCTTTGGCTGTTTCATGAACAAGAAACACCATTCTCTAGGCATTTTCTTTGGCTGTCCCCCATTCTGGAATGCTCTCCCTTTGCAACCCTACCTACTGACCTTCCTGATCTCCTTTAAGTTCCAAAGAAAATCCAATCTTTTATTGTGCCTTGCTCTGTTAATTATTTCCTGCTTATCTTGTATATAGCTTATTTACATATATTTGGTTTTGTGTTTTCTCCTAAGCTCCTTGAAGGTCAGAGACTGTCTTTTACCTCTTTTTGTATCACTTGCACTTAGTACCCTGTGTGTTGCACATAGTGGGCACTTAATAAATGTTTATTGACACCATTTAACCTACAGATCACACTGCTAAGCACATCTAGGTAGTTCAATGAAAATAAAAGTTCCTTGTGAATGAAAACATGAGTAGCGTTATTTTTTTTTTGTAGAAGCAAAGCAATGAAATAAAGTAGATGCCCATCAAATGGGGAATGATTAATCAAAATTTAATACACAAATATAATGGAATAATACTGTGACATAAAAAAAAGCAATGAATCTGATGAATACTGAAAAGCATAGGAAGACCTCTATGTACTGATGCCAATTCTCTCTCTGTATACACACACACACACACACACACACACACACACACACACACACACATATACACATATATATGTATGTATATAAGACCTACAGGATTATAAATAGAAGAACAGTCATAACAAAATAGACTGAGTTCTGTGAGAGCAAGACCTATGTTTTGCCTTTCTCTGAATCTATACTTGGCATATGAGAATATACCTTCCGTGTGTGTGTGTGTGTGTGTGTGTGTAAGAGAGGGAGAGAACTGGAGGGAGACAGTGTGGAATATGGAATATAATGTCAAAGTCAGTTGTTTGTTGCTTAGCTTACTAAAATGTAATATTTGCCTTTTTAAAATTTGTTTTCCAGTAAGGTTGGAGTCTCTAGGGGAGGAAAGAGATGTGTGGGAGATATTGAGAGATGTGTTGTAGATGATGTAAAAAAGGAATTAATAAAAATGGTTGTAGGAGTATCTCCATTTTTTTTCAGGGTTTTTAAAAAGTTTATTAAATTTCATTGCCTATTCTGCTGCAAGGTTGAAGCCTCATTTGTGTAATATACCTTCAGCCAAGCAGCTTATTCAGAAATTAAGTTGGTATTTTTCTACATCTGATACCAGCCAGATGACCAATCTCAGGAAATCATTCCCATGGACAGAAAATCAAATGTATTTTGAACAAAATTGATGATCGATGGAGTTGAATGGCCATTACAACATTATTGATTTAAGGCCTTTTTACAGATAAAATTCTACCTTTGAAATACATGGTCTTAGTATTCAGTTTTACCACACATGATGCGGTGAATTCAGAACTAGACAGACACTAACTTTGAAATTACTAGGAAGTTGTGCAAAAGGTGTTAATAGTAAAAGGCATTTTTATCCAGTCATTTCTGAGTAGTTAAGACTTTTTTTTTTTCCATGCCATGGTGTTGTTTCAGAAGCGTTAAGGTTGCTAACCTTCCATCTACCACTAATTGAGGACGAAACTATACTGGGCTGTATTCTTATGCCAATTTATTTGGAGATCAGTGTTCAGTCCTCAACAGAGTTTATGTTTCCTCATTCATCAGTTCATCAAGTTCTGAAAGGTTGCTCAGAGTTATCGCGATCAGCCAACCATCTTCATAACAAGATTTGTGGACAAGTCCTGGGTCTTCTGCCGGAGCCACTTTAACTTCAGTTACTTCTCCTGTTAGTGGAGAATAGAGTTCACTGGCAGCTTTCACACTTTCCAAGGCTCCAAACTCACCTTGTTTGTTCAATTTTGTTTCAACTTCTGGAAGACTGTAGCGAGCTACATCTCGATGCTTCCTATGCAAAAGCGCTGGCTGCCGCTGTTCCGGTACCATTTTCAGTTGATACGCATTCATGCTGGTCTGAGAATTTTCTAACCAGGAGTCACAGGGCGCTGGTGCCGAGGCACCAGGAGGAGGCCCCTGGGCCGGGCGGGCCCCGAGGCGCGAGGTTGCTGCTGGGAGCGAGGCCAGGGCCGTGCGGTCTCAGCCCCGGGGACTGCCCACGGGGACAAGGCCGTGGCCCGCAGGCTCCTGGCCCCTCGCAGCGCTGTCTTCCCCGGGGCAGCCGGGAGCAGAATGGGCCTAGGCTGGAGGCTGCGAGAGTGGAATATCCCCATTATACAGATGAGGAAACTATTGTTAAAGAAGTGATTTACCCGAGGTATGTCTTCATCCGGTACAAAAAACTGATTGGAAATTTGAATCTAGATTCTCTGCCCGCAGACAAGCTGTTCTTTCTTCTTCTCACGTCTGAAACAAAGCTATTTCCATATTCTCCTCTCTTCCCCATCTGCACGCCATTCTATCCTTTCGATGATGACAAATTGCCTTTGTTTTGCTGAGAATTAATTGAATTTCCCTTGTCTTTTTTTCAAATGATTAGCGATTATTTTCTTTGACCGCTATAGAATGTGAGACAGATCTCATCAGTATGTTAGTTTTAATCCCGCCCCTTGGAGGGCCGGGTTTATTTTGGGTGAGAGAAAGGGGAGATTAGGGAGTAGTTTCTGTCTTTGTTCTTTCCTCAAAAAAATTATTTTCTTGAAAGAAGAAGCACAGCCTTCCCCTCCCTCAACAAGGTGAGGCTTCTGGGAGACTTGTTGATTGAGGTCCATGGCTGCTGGTTTCTCAGTGCTTCCAAGGGAAGGAAATAAAATGATCTATTAAAGGAATGGCTACACACCATTAGGAACTCATTTTGAACCAGCAAAGATAGTGGATAAGTTAGTGTTAATTTAACTACTCTCTGGCACAATAAATTTAAATTGGATTGGATTTCCACCGTCTGAATAATAACCTAATTTCTCCTTTTCCACTGCTTTACTTTCCCTATTAAAAAAAGCTCCAGTTAATTTGTGAACCTAACAAATTCCCTAATAACTTAGAAGTATTAGAAGATGGTGTTCGTTTCTATTTTAACCATTGTATGTTATGTAGTAAAACCTTTCCTCCTCACCTCCCACCACCTTGCTACTCCTTTCAACTTCACTGTTTTTTTGTTAAGTGCCACCATACTGTTCAGCCACTTTCTCTTATTAGAAATCACCTGTCATAACCTACTAACTAGTGTTGTGGTTTCTATTACTGCATGTTCATTGCAGTTAGCCCCTCCTAACTATTCCTACTATTATCACCATGGGATAGGCAGGCTTTCCTTACTACTTGTCTGTTTTGCTATAGCCTGTTACTTCTTCCTACCTCCACACACACAGACATGCGCACACACACCCACATACCCACACACACACACACACACACACACCCTTTCAGTTAATTCATCAAGCACTTAGATTTTTTTTTCTTTTGCAGAGATAGATGGTCATGAATCTCCTCTATTTACAACCTTTATGTGACTCTTTTAATTTAAACTTCTTAGATTTAAATTCAAGAACCACCCAAATCTAATACCTTTTAATTTTTGGAGACATAACTCACAAACTCAGGCTATTTCCCTTCATGTAAAATCTAGACTGGTTACTCTGACTCATATTTGTTGCCTACTGTGTATTTGCTCAGATTATTACCTATTTCTGGAATACTGTGCTCTATTCCTTCCACTTGCCAAACTCCTACCCATTAATAGCAGTCCAGAGGACCTGGCCATTCCATGTCTCTGTTATCAAGAATGTAAGCTTGTGCTGTCTCCAGGGGTCATCTTTAACCCCCCACCCTCCCTCCCCAGAAATCCCTGAAGCCCCTTGGAAATGCCCAGGGAAGACAGGGCTACCTGGAAATCCAATTACTTCCTCAAGATCACCTTAACTTTTGAATGATTATCCAAAATGCTTCATTGTGGGAGCAAACAATGTGAGCTCCAAGCAGATGCAACAGATCCAGATGTCCCTCCCTGGGAAGGCTGTAGTATTGATGGGAAAAAAACACCATGATGCACAAAGCCATTTGTAGACATCTGGGGAACAACCCTGCCCTGGAGAAACTGCTGCCTCATATTTAGGGGAATGTGGGCTTTGTGTTCACCAAGGAAGATCTAACTGAGATTAGGGACATGTTTCTGGCCAATAAGGTGTCAGCTGCTGCCTGTGCCGGTGCCACTGCCCCATGTGATATCACAGTGGCAGCCCAGAACACTGGTCTCGGTCCCAAGAAGACTTCCTTCTTCCAGGTTCTGGGTATCACCACCAAGGTTTCCAGGAACGCCATTGAAATCTTGAGTGATGTGCAGCTGATTAAGACTGGAGACAAAGTGGGCACCAGCAAGGCCACCTTGTTGAACATGCTGAATATCTCCCCCTTCTCCTTTGGGCTGATCATTCAGCAAGTGTTTGACAATGGCACCATCTACAATCCTGAAGTGCTGGACACCATGGAGGAGACTCTGTACCTTTGTTTCTCAGAAGGTGTCTGAAAAGTTGATAGTGTCTGTCTAAGGACTGGCTACCCCACTGTCGCATCAGTACCCCACTCGATCATCAATGGATACAAGTGGGTCACGGCTGTAGCTAGGGAGACTGAGTACACCTTCCCCCTTGCTGAAAAGGTGAAGGCCTTCCTGGCCGACCCTTCAGCATTTGCAGGGCTGTGCCTATGGCCACTGCTCCAGCTGCTGCTGGACCTGCTGCAGCTGCTCCTGCCAAGGTGGAAAGCAAGGAAGAATCAGAGGAGTCTGATGAAGATAGGGGATTTGGTCTATTTGATTAGCCCAAGGGAAACAACTATTTCATCCAGTTTGTTTGTGAAACAAAGAAACAAGAGTGCTCATTTATCTCTGAAAAAAAAAAAAAGAATGTAAACTTGTTAGAAGCAAAGCATATTCTGCCTTTGTATTTGTGATCTCCAGTACCTAGCATAGATCAAGATTCTGGTGCACAAATGCTTAAGTGATTTAAATAGATGAATGAATGAAGTGAATGAACATTTCACCCAGGCTGTTTTGTAACTTAGCATATCCCCATCATGAGAATTTACTCTGCCATTGTTTTGCTTATACCTTCCATCTAGTTCAGATAAGAGACTCCCCCACCCCATTTCTCTTAATTTTATATTTTGAATGGTTCATTTAAAACATACCTAAAAAAACTTTGTTTTTTTCATTTGAGAAATCTCAAAAAGGAATTGTTATTAACATACTCCAAAATTACTTCATTTTGTCAATCAATAAATAAACATTTATTTAGTGCCTGCTATTTTCCCCAGGCTCTGTGCTAAGTCCTGGAGATTTAAAAACAAACAAACAAACAAACAAACAAACACACAAAAAGTAAAGCAAAAGACAATTCCTGACCTCAAGAACCTTAGAACCTAAAGGAGGAAGACAACATGCCAAAAGAAAGTGAAAGGAGGTGAGCAGGCAGAGGATAATCAACCCTGATCAACACAAGCAGAGGGATAGGAGAAGAAATAGCTGTACTGGCCCCCTTCCTTAAATGAATTACCTGGGAGGAGCTTTCTAGTATTCAGTCTCCAACATCTTCAGTCAGAGGGAGGAGTCCCAGGGCTAGGAGGTGCTGAAGAAGATTGGGTTTGAGAGTTAATTATATCTTTCTGGAAGATAAGATACTATAGGAAATGAAATCAGCTACTTTATCCAAAACCGGAACTTTTTTTTTCTAACTCAGGCTATAAAAACAGTATAGAAAACTGAACATTCATTAGGTGCATGGTGTCATCTCCCATTGGATCAAAGTGTTGTGAGCTGAATCAAAGCTAAAGAAGAATTGTTAATGACAACAAATGCATGATCTAGATTAGCGCTGAAAATTCCTTCTGATAGCCATGTAATGTACCACTTGGTGAAAGACAACCATTTCTGATGAGAAGCAAACACTTGCTCACCTCCTTTAACTTTCTTTTTACATATTGTCTTCCTCCTTTAGGTTCTAAGGTTTTTGAGGTCAGGGATTATCTTTTGCCTTAGTTTTTGTGTGTTTGTTTGTTTTTAAATCTCCAGGATTTAGCACAGTCCCTGGAAAATGGCAGGTACTAAATAAATGTTTATTGATTGATTAACAAAATGAAGTAATTTCAGAGTATGTTAATTCCATTTTGGGCTTTCTCAAATGTAAAAATAAAGGTTTTTTTCAGTTACGTTTTAAATGAACCATTCAGAATATAAAATTAAGAGAAATGGAGTGGCAGGGGCTCTTATCTGAACTAGATGGAACACTTGTGCTTTAATCCAGTGTTTTGGGGAATCTAGGGACCAGACATGTTGCTGTTACTCATCCTTTGTTCTCAAAGAGGACAAATGATATCAGTGGCCCGTGAGGATGTCTTGACCTACAGGCGAATTGGATTTTAGTGAGGGAGCGCTACACAAAGTCATCAGCCTCACTCTCTCCTCCAGAGTCACTGAAGTACAGTGGCAAGACAAAAGTCAAGATGATTGGCAGTGGCCAGCAATGCAGTGGGTGACCTTAACCTTTCTAAATTAATTTCTTTCCCAATTTTTACCAGAGATGTATATGAGTGAAATGTCAGTGAGTATGTTGATGATAGTCAATCAACCAAATGATGAAGATAAAATTCTTTCTTATCCAACATGCAGAGCCATAACCAAGTTATGACAATTAAAGATTTGTTGGTTGGCAGACAATTTCGAGCATTCTGACAACCTCTTCCTGGAGGTGTTTCCTCTCCTTTCTTACATTTCCCTTAGAAGCAGTTATGGTTACTATCTCTGTACTCATCTGATGTCATTATTCTCCTGCCTGGTCCACTGCCAACCTCAGTCCCTTCTTCAATCATCAGCTTTGCCTCTGGTAGCAGCAGTCTTCTTCCCATTCTAGGCTGGATTTTCAGAAGGTAGAATGCTCAGAGTATACTTCATATATCCAACACTTGCCCCTCCATCCCTCCTTTCCTAGGTTCATTTTTTTCCCACGGGCTCACTGAGCTGTTCCTATTATCCTCTAACTTCCCAAATTCCAAATATCTAGCCATAGCTCTTATCATGAGTAAAACTGCTAGTATGACATAATCATCCTAGTAAGCACTTTGTTGATTCAGAATGAGTCAACACTACTGATACTATTCACTGAAGCCCAACTCCAATATCATTTCTTGTCCTTGAAGCGTACACATTGCTTGTACAGCTTCTATGCATTTATCAAATATTTATCTAAAATATAATTACTTTGTGAGTCATTTCCCTCACTGT